ATTTATTTTATTAAAAAACATCATGTAATTAACTAAGGTTTATTAAATAAATAAAATACATTTGGTCTTTTTTTCTCACAAAAAAGTTGATGTTATATAATTATTTATTCCAAGTAAAAACAAAAGTTAATGAACCGGAATTAGTTATTCTCCCTTGGGGTTATTATAACAAAAAATGAGTATATAAGAGTGTATCTGGAAAACTCGTGAAAAAAAAATATTATGAGCTTATCAATGGGATATCTGAAATAGCTTAACAAATGTCTTATAAACTACTTTGTTACAAACTATGTTTTCCCATGAACCATGAACCGGCCTCTAGCCTTTCCATTCAATTAAATACGTAATACAAAAGTAATAGGCTAAGTACACATAATGGGATATCTATACAGAACAATACGGACTATACAAAATAAATACATGTGAAGTCTAAAAATAGAGGAGAAGGAAGCCCGTTGGTGAAGATATCGGTGTACTCAGATCCAAGAGTATGAATAACTTGCTGAAGAAGAGTCATAGAGGAGGAAGTCAAGACAATATTATCAACATAGAGAAGTAGATATGCTATATTGGTACCTTGTCGGTAGATGAAGAGAGATGAATTTGATTTGTTGTTGATAAACCCAAACTGAGTGATGAACTGAGCAAATCGGTAGTACCAAACCCTAGGCGTCTGTTTGAGGTCATATAAAGATTTCTTAAGTAGACAGACATGGTCAGCTGATGGGGGGTTGCGGAAACCTGGTGGTTAGTACATATAGACAGTCTCCTGCAGGTGACCATGAAGAAACACATTCTTCACATCCAACTAATGAACTCACCAAGAGTGAGAGATAGCCAGACTAAGAACCATCCGTATAATAGTCGGATTGACAATCGGGTTAAAAGTCTCCCCACATTAGCAGCAATGCACGCTTTGTAACGCGCAAGAGATCCATTTGCATTAAGTTTCTTTTTAAACAACCAAATATAATTAACAACATTAGCATCAAATGGTCGGGGTACAAATACCCAAGTCCCGTTATAAATAAGCGCATTATATTCATCCTTCATGGCATTTAGCCAGTTAGGATCCCGAAAGGCATGACTATATGTGCGAGGAAGAGGAGAGTCGAAAATAGTATCGGTGTGAAGATTGAGACGAAAACATGTTTGATTCGAATGCCTCATTTTAAATGAGTAGCCATAGTATGAGTGTTGACAGTGGAGGTCGGACGGGAAGATGTAGTTGGCATGAGAGTGGAGGACCGATGAGGCCGACTGGTATGCTAAACTAGTGGCGTGGTAGTGTTGATGCTGCTGACAGAAGGATCAGCAGAGGGAGAAGGCTAGGAATGGTCGGTGTGAACAATGGAGTTTGGGTGGCTGTCATCAACAGTAGACAACGGAGGAGTGACGAAAGCAGACCCTAAAGGATAGGAAGGGGTGTTAGGGTCATTAAAGATGTTGTGTGAGTCATTATAATCAAGGAAATTATAATTGTTAGATTAAGTGTCTAAGCCCATAACTATAATTGGTATGTACTTGATTTGATAGTAGCATGGTCCTTTTGGGTTGCCTTCACCCTAGCAACTTGACAAGATGACTTTTGGAGAGAGAAATTGAATTTATTATTTGGAATAATAAATTGGTTTATTAATGTATTATGAAAATAATATATTAATTAGAAATCATGTTATTTAATTAGTTAATCAGAAATTAATTTGGAATTAATTTTGGGATTAAAGGAACTGATTAAAGGAACAGGGGAGTTTTGTAAATCATTGATGGTTGTGAAACTGAGTTATTGGACTCCTTAGATGGGAGTGGACGAAAACTATAGGGAGGCCATATAGATTTCGTCCCAAGCCTTTTAATGAGCAGTCCATGGGCTGCTTAAGCCATAAGCAGGAATTAGGGTTTCCTCCAGAAAACCCTAGCAGCCTACAGTTATATAAAGCCCCACCACCTTGGATTTTCGGCCAATGCATTGTTGCTACAAACCCTATCCAAATTTCTAAGAGTTATTCCTCCTCTCTCCTCTCATCCTCTTGCTAGTGGTGTTTGTAAACCATCAGAGGTGCAACATTTTAGTCACTAAGCTTTCAAGAGTCAAGGATCTACAAGGAGTTCTAGTTATTACTACATAACTAGTAAGGTAAACATCAAAACCCTTTTTGATATATAATTTTCGAAATTGTATGCTAGATCTAGGGTTTATTGCTTTGGTATTCAATTGCATGTTCAACTAGTGAAAAACTTAGATCCAAAGCAATTAGGGTTGCATGAACACATAGGTTTGTTGTTATGCTAAAATCCCATCAATAATCTGGGGCTTTGTTCGGCGTCATGGACCCGAAGGGGAAGACAGATTCGTCAAATATGACATGGCGGGAAATAATAATTTGTTTGGTGTGGATATTGAGGCATCGAAAACCTTTGTGGTTAGACGGGTAACCAAGGAAAATACATGGGACTGAACGATGTTCAAGTTTGTTGGTGTTGTTTAGGTTGGGATAGCAAAGACAGCCAAACACGCGAAGATGAGTGTATGGTGGGCGTTTTTTAAATAACTTTTGAAAAGGAGAGTCATTTTTTAGAGCGGTAGATGGAATGATGTTTAGAAGATGGGTGCCATGTGAAGGGCTTCCACTATGACTTATTAAGGGAGTGGTCCAAACATCAGAGTGAATTATTTGAAAAGGAAACAAAGCTTTCGTTTTAGACAAATCAAACGAAAGTTTAACGTGTTTGCCAAGTTCACATGCATGGAAAAGTAAAAGAGAATCCTTTTTATTACATGAAATAGACTCGCTAGAAAGTAAATGCTTGAAAACGGGAGTGCTCGGATGACCAAGGCGTTGGTGCCACAAGGATGAGCTGACGGAAAGAAAAGCTACAATGTCGGGCTTGGTGAATGGGTAGAGATCTCCCGAGCTATCACATCGGATGAGAATTTGTTTGGTCAGAAAATCCTTCACAGAAAACCCGAATTCGTCAAATTAAATAGAGCATTTATTATCACGAGTAAGTTTACGCATAGAAACAAGATTTTTAATAATTTGAGGAGTAATGAGAACATTTTTTAAATGTAAGGGGCGAAAAGAATTGAAACCAAGAGTGGAATGACCAACATTACTGACCCGAATACAGGATCCATTACCAACTAAAATTGATATATTAGAATTGGTGAACTTATCACTAAAGGACTTGAGTAAACCTGTGTCATTGCGAAGGTGTGTGGTTGCCTCAGTTTCCATGTACCAGTCCGCATTGCTTGGATCTTAAAGACTCATGGTACTAAAATCTTGTGGTAAAGAGGTGGGCTGATCTGATGGGTAATTAAACCACTATGGTTGTCCATTGGACTGAGGAGAATAGGCCAAAAAAAGCTTGTTGTTGGGCTGGCAACGCATTGGGTCATTGTTGAGGACTTGGGTTTCGTGGGCCAAGAGTTGAATTGGGCCAAAAAAATGGTTGTGTTGTTGGAGTGAGTAATAGCCCACATTATTGTTGGGGAGGGATTTCCATCACAGACCAAGGGACCAGATTAGCCTAGCCAGCATGCTGACCTTGCGAGAAGTCACCACCACTTCAACCTTGATGACCACCTCCGTATTAGCAACTAACCCTTCCCCCTCGATAATTTTGACCGCCACCACCACGTCCAGCAGAAGTATTCCCACGATTATATTGAGGTCGACTTTGATGTTTTGTGTTAAGAATTGTACGTGAAGAAGCAGTGTCATTGTGGGATAGGTGAGTGGTAGTGAGGTGATTCTAATCTTTAAGTGTCGACCTCTCTTCAAAGGTAAGTATGAACCTCATTTCAAGAAACGTTGGGAACGGTTTTGTGTGCCTTAGGGTGGGTTTAACATAAGAAAATTTCTACGATAAACCACTAATGGCATATGTAACCAGATTGCATTCGGGAACTGGAGCACCAATGTTTGCGAGAAGGTCGGAGATGGATTTTAGACGATTACAGTATTCCATTACCGTGGAGTCACCTCTAGTGATGTTGCGGAGCTTGTCATCTAGTTCAATGGCTTTCTTTTTTCTCTTGAAATAACCCCTCAATAGCATTCCAAACATCACGTGTAGTAGAATCGGGTTTAAGTTAGGGGTGGCCACTCTCGACCCAACCCGTAACCCGACACTAACCCAACACAAAAATAGACGGGTTTGGGTTGAGATTTTTGACCCGCCAACCCGTCAACCTGATAACCCGCCAACCTATTTATTTCATGGGTTGGGTTGGGTTACCTGTTTGGGTTCGCAAGTCAACCTATATATATATATATATATATATATATATATATATATATATATATATATATATATATATATATATATATTGATGACGTGCCCTAGCGTGCACGGTGGAGCCGCACCCGGTCGCGCCAAAGAATGCCCCAAGGCATGACGCGCCCGGCAGGCTAAACCCTACGGAATCCAACGCCCCTTAGAGTTGGGCGCTCAAAGAGAAAGGCTCGGCCCCACCCGGGGCGCCTTCCACTCCGGGAGAAATATACCGATCAGGCGACAAGGCAGATGCTCAGAGCATTACCGTCTAAACCAATCGTTGGCTCTGACAGATTAAGGAGCACGATCTACCAATCAGCGTCCCCGATCCTGTTAGGTTTGACGTCCTTGTCCCGTACGGACTAATAGAAGGGTCTAGTATAAATGGCTACCCCAGGTGCCTTGGGAAGTAAGTGATTCTCTCTCAGTTTTACCCACGATAAGACTCCAAGTCTATCCACTGACTTGACCATCGGAGCATTTTCCCGAGGAGTCCCTCCCGGAGAACGGATGACAGCCCTTTCTTGCTGTGACCTTGCAAGTTCGCCGGAACTATCAAGAGTGAAGAACGTTACCTCGCAGGAACCAGGTCACATCATTTGGCGTCATCCGAAGTGTGATGAAAAACAAACCAAAAGCACACTATTCATCGGTGAAAAATGGCGTCCAGCGATACAGGAGGGACCGGTGGAACGCCAACCAGCCCCAGTAGGCCTATGATGTTGCTAGAGCAAACCATTACTCCGATTCACACAGTAATCACCGGCGAAGCTTCAAAAGAAGGCGGTTCAACGGTAACTGTTGCACCAACAACCGGACATGAGCAACCTGTCGACAGAGGACAACCTATTTTCGTCGTTGTGCCAACACAAAGCACTCCGATACAAGCACCCCAACTGGCGGTGATACCAAGCAGTACGACCCTGCCAACAGTGGAAGACGCTAGCGCCACATCGAGTCTCTTCCAACAGCTACCACCAAACCAGATGGCAGGCGCACAACCGATGGTTTTCCAGACACCACCACCGCCAAACCAGATGGCAAGCGCAACCAGTGGTTTTCCAGACGCCACCACCGCCAAACTAGATGGTAGGTGCATAACCGGTGGTTCTCCAGACACCACCACCGCCAAACCAGATGGAAGGCGCACAACCGGTGGATTTCTGTAACAGCCCAAATTTTTCAAAAAATTTTAACTTTTATAATCATAAATACCAACCACAACTGTTTCCAAAAATCTCATTACATGACTATAGTATTTTAAAAAATCAGAGTATAAAACTAAATGCGAAAATAATGGAGAATGCACGCCGCGCCATCAAGCCGAGACCTTGCTCTTAGAACCAGAAGTACCTGAAACATTCAATAAATTTGTAAGCATAAGTTTAGTGAGCTTCCCAAAACACACGAATCATATAATCACATAATGTCATGCACACATACAAATAAGTTTGCCACAGACTCCCTCCATGGTCTTCATTTGGAAGGCCATGGGCTACCCCCATGGTCTTGCATCCGCGAGCCATCGGCTCCTCCCATGGTCCTGTCATGTCCCATGGGCTCCTCCCATGGTCTTCACATAATTCCACATATATATCAAATAGTAAACAATTACATACTCCATTACTAATCATCTCATATCAATTAATAGGTCGGCCTTGGTGCCTTCGACCCATGAGTGTAGTGAGAAGACTCACCTCAATCTACTGAACACAAAAGCTGCTCGCCTAACAGTCCCAAACCACATGCTGAACAATGATACAATTAATCGTAAGTTAGGATTTTACACAACCTAATCAAAGAGTCTAAACACTTAAGCCTAAGTCCTTCCATAATGGACCAGAAGTGTCCCATTTGCTAATGGGCCTAACTCCATGATAAAGGCCATTAATGGGCCACACGGCCCAATAAGACCCAACCAAAACAACTATGGCCCGAAACGGAATATCAGCCCAAAACTCTAAATGGGACTAGGCCCAAAAATGAATAAGGCCTAAAAGCTTCCAAGCCCAAACCCAACTTGAGTGCGTACGCCATGCGTACCACTCCAGTACACTCAGCGTACTACCCCCTTAAGCAGTACGCTCTGCGTACACGAATTTACACACGGCGTACAAGCAGGACATGCAACATTCGACGATTAAGTGCTTAATACTTGGGATTTCAACGTCAAACTTTAGATCTGAGTCCATTAAGATGTACTAGGGCATAAAGTTGGCAACTTTATTCCCTTGCATGCCATGAGTGACCCTAATACTTCATTCTTCTCGGTAAGACCTCTAACTTATGTATGGTGTCAAAACGACCTTCAAGATGACATCTTTATGCATCAAACATGCTCGAGGAGCTTAGATCTATCAATTCTAATCTCTGGAGTTGCTCAACTCACAAGAGAAGGTCCAAAAGCCAAAAATGGACTCCATAACAAATTTCTAGTTCAAACAATCAAAAGTGATGACAAGGTCATGACTTTATACCTCTAGAAGTTCCTCAAGATGAACTAGATGTAGGATATAAAAGCTCAATGATACCCAAAGCTTGTTCACCACCTTCTCCTTCTTGAATGCTCTCTAAAATGGACACCAACACACTTTCTAAGCTCAAGATTCAAACTAACAAGGAAATATGATGTTGCGGGACGAAATGAGGCTATGGAGGCTGATTAGGGTTTGGTCCAAAAGACTTAAGGACGTTTAAATAGGTCTCAAGCCCGAAAATTAGGGTTTTGGTCTTCAGTCGCGTACTCCCCGTGTACCGTTGGTACGCACAGCGTACATGACCAGCCTCCGTGATCACCCATCCCTTAGTACGCTAAGCGTACTCCTCAAGTACGCCCAGTGTACGAGAAGACCAATTAGTCATAAATTTGCATACTAAGGGTAAGAAGTGTAAATACCTGGATTCCGACCGTTACAAATCTCCCCCACTTGAACTAGACTTCATCCTTGAAGTCTGCTGATGCGAAAAGATCTGGATAATGCTTTCTCATCTCGTCCTCTGGCTCCTAGGTCCATTCGGAGCCCTTACGGTGCTGCCATTGCACCTTTACTAGCTTCACTTCTTTATTCCGAAGTGCTTTAGTTTTTCTATCTAAAACTGCTATGGGCTTCTCCACATAACTCAGGCTCCCATCCACCTGAATATCATCCAGAGAAATAATAGCGGCCTCATCTGCATCACACTTCCGGAACTGAGACACGTGGAAGGTGTTATGGATCTGACTGAGCTCATCCGATAGATCTAACCGATAAGCAACCCTGCCAACTCGGGCAGAAATCCTGAATGGTCCAATGTATCAGGGCCCCAGCTTGCCCCTCTTCCGAAATCGAATAACACCCTTCCAAGGTGACACCTTTAGCAGCATAAAGTCACCCATTTGGAACTCAATATCCGATCGGCGCCTGTTAACATAGCTCTTCTGACGTCTCTATGCAACCCTCAGTATATCACGCACCTGCTGAATCAACTCAGCGGTCTTGAGAACCACCTCAGTGCTTCCTATGAATCGATACCCAACTTCACCTAAACAAACGAGAGTCCTACACCTTCAACCATACAACATATCAAACGGGGGTCGGTCAATACTAACATGATAACTATTGTTGTATGAGAACTCTGCTAGTGGAAGGTGAGTATCCCAATTCCCTCCAAAGTCTAATACACATGCCCGAAGCGTATCCTCGAGCGTCTGAATCGTCCACTCACTCTAGGCATCAGTATGAGGGTGATAAGCAGTGCTGAAATGCAATTGAGTGCCTAAATCCTTATGGAACTTCCTCCAGAACCTGGAGGTGAAACGAACATAACGGTCCAAAACTACCGATACCGACACCCCATGCCTGACCACTACCTCCCGCACATAAATATCTGCTAATTTCTCGGCGGAAATACTCTCGGAAATTGGAATAAAATGCACACTCTTGGGCAACCTGTCCATAATAACCCAAATGGAGCCCACACCCCGCGCTGTCTTAGGCAACTTCGTGATGAAATCCATGGTGATATCTTCCCATTTCCACATGGGAATAGGTAGCGGTTGCACCTTGCTGTGAGGCCTCTAATGTTCGGCTTTGACCTTCCTGTAGGTCAAACACCGCTCGACAAACCACGCAACCTCCCGCTTCATGCAGGTCAAACACCGCTCTACAAACCACGCAACCTCCCACTTCATGCAGGGCCATCAATAGCTCAATCTCAGATCTCAGTACATCTTTGTGTCCCCCGGATGAATAGAAAACTTGGATCTGTGCGCCTCCTCTAATATCCTTTGCCTCACACTCCCAGATGCCGGAACCCAAACTCTATCACACTACGTCAACAACCCCCGACTATCTCAAACAAACAAAGGAATTTGCCCCCGAATCGGCTCAATTTTCCAGTTCTCGCTTTTAAACCCTCCACCTGTGCCTCCTTAATCATATCCAATAAAGTTGAAATTACTGTCATCCTCAAGCAGACATCTCGAATCGGTGCACTTTCCGTCTTACGAGTCAAGGCATCAACCACCACATTAGCCTTCCCGGGGTGGTACATAATCTCACAGTCATAATCTTTCACCACATCTAACCACCTCCTATGACACATATTCAAATTATGTTGATCCATCAAATACTTAAAACTCTTGTGATCAGTCAAAATGGTGCATCGGACCCCATATAAATAATGCCTCCAAATCTTGAGGGCAAAAACCACTGTTCCCAATTCCAAATCATAAGTGGGGTAGTTCGCCTCATGAGGCTTCAGCTGCCACGAGACATAAGTAATCACATGCCCTCTCTGCATCAGAACAACTCCTAATCCCGAAATAGAAGCGTCACAATACACTACAAATCATCCAATCCTGCGGTTAGTGCTAAAATCAGGGCCTTACATAATCTCTGTCTCAAGGTCTCAAAAGCTGATTGTTGATCTAGACCCCACCAAAAAATCACATTCTTCTTGGTCAATCGGGTCAAGGGTATGACAATCTTGGAGAAATCCTGGATGAATCTCTGATAGTAACCGGCTAATCCCAAGAAACTCCGCATCTCGGTTGCGTTCTTTGGAACCTCCCAACATTACCGCCTCTATCTTGGCCGAGTCCACCAAAATACCCTCTTGGTTGATAATGTGCCCCAGAAACTGCACATCACACAACCAAAAATCGTATTTGGAGAATTTAGCATAAAGCCTCTCCCTCCTCAAGGTCTCCAACATCTTCCTCAAATGGTGCTCATGTTGCTCCTTGGTCTTAGAATAGAACAAAATATCATCAATGAAAACAATCACAAACCGATCCAACATTGGTATGCAAACCCGGTTCATGAGATCCATGAACACTGCTGGAGCATTGGTGAGCCCAAATGGCATCACCACAAACTCATAATGACCATAACGAGTTCTGAACGCCGTCTTCGGTATGTCTTCATCCCTGATCCTCATCTAGATGACACCCTGGCCAAAGATCAATCTTGGAAAACCAAGATGCACCCTGAAGCTGATCGAACAAATCATCAATCCTTGGAACTGGATAACGGTTCTTCACCGTTAGCTTGTTCAGCTCCCGATAATCAATACACATCCTGTGTAATCCATCATTCTCTTTCACGAAAAGGATCGGTGCTCCCCACGGGGAACTGCTTGGACGAATGAAGAACCGGTCTAGTAAATCCTGAAGCTGCGTAGACAACTCCTGCATCTCAGGCGGAGCCAGATGATACGGAGCCTTGGCTATCGGAGCCGCACTAGGCACTAAATCGATACAGAACTCCACTCGCCTCTCGGGAGGCACCCCAAGCAACTCCTATGGAAATACATCTAGAAAATCGTGCACAATCGATACCCTGCTAAAATCTGGCGTGACCTCCACCCTCGTATCTGAAACATAAGCCTAAAACCCAGAACAACCCTGCTGAAGGAGTCGCCTATCCCTCGTAGCCGAACGGAGAGTTAGTCTATGTGAGGCTCTCTCTCCATGAATAACCAATTCTCCCACACTTGGGGTTCGAACTCTCACCAACTGACACTCACAATCTATCATGGCCCCATTGGACCCCAACCAATCCATGCAAAGGAATCGAAACCAAATCAATAAGAAACCTCTCCCTGAACATATTCAGAACACTCCTCCGAAATACTCTCGCAACGCTCATGGTGCAGTCATCCGCAATCTCCACCTCGAGTGGGGAAT